CTAGCACCACCACTGTCAACACTACCACTAGCACAACCACTGTCAGCACTACCACTAATACCACCACTGTCAAGACTACCACTAGCACCACCACTGTCACTGCAACCACTAGAACTATCACTGTCAACACTACCACTAGCACCACCACTGCCAGTGCAAATACTGGAACCACCACTGTCAGCACTACCACTAACACCACCACTGTCAGTGCAGCCACTATAACCACCACTGTCAATATTACCACTTCAATCATGGGATGTTTACTGCACTCTTGTGATGTTTACTGCACTCTTGTGATGTTTACTGCACTCTTGTGATGTTTACTTGACTATTGTGATGCTTCAATTTTGTGATGTTTACTTCACTCTTGTGGTGTTTACTGCACTCTTGTGATGTGTATTTCACTATTGTGATGTTTACAACACACTTGTGATGTTTACTTCACTCTTGTGATGCTTCACTCGTGTGTTTACAACACACTTGTGATGTTTACTTCACTCTTGTGATGCTTCACTCGTGTGTTTACTCTTGTGATATTTGCTCCACTAGTCTGATTACTTCACTCTTGTGATGTTTACTTCAGTAGTTTGGTGTTTACTAGTTTGATTTTTACTTCACTATTGTGATGTTTACTTCACTAGTCTGATGTTTACTTCACTAGTCTAATGTTTACTTCACTAGTCTGATGTTTACTTCACTAGTCTGATGTTTACTTCACTAGTCTGATGTTTACTTCACTAGTCTGATGTTTACTCCACTAGTCTGATGTTTACTTCACTAGTCTGATGTTTACTTCACTAGTCTGATGTTTACTTCACTAGTCTGATGTTTACTTCACTAGTCTGATGTTTACTCCACTAGTCTGATGTTTACTTCACTAGTCTGATGTTTACTTCACTAGTCTGATGTTTACTTCACTATGTCTGATGTTTACTTCACTAGTCTGATGTTTACTTCACTAGTCTGATGTTTACTCCATAGTCTGATGTTTACTTCACTTAGTCTGATGTTTACTTCACTAGTCTGATGTTTACTTCACTAGTCTGATGTTTACTTCACTCACTAGTCTGATGTTTACTTCACTAGTCTGATGTTTACTTCACTAGTCTGATGTTTACTCCACTAGTCTGATGTTTACTTCACTAGTCTGATGTTTACTTCACTAGTCTGACGTTTACTTCACTAGTCTGATGTTTACTTCACTAGTCTGATGTTTACTCCACTAGTCTGATGTTTACTTCACTCACTAGTCTGATGTTTACTTCACTAGTCTGATGTTTACTTCACTCACTAGTCTGATGTTTACTTCACTAGTCTGATGTTTACTCCACTAGTCTGATGTTTACTTCACTAGTCTGATGTTTACTTCACTCACTAGTCTGATGTTTACTTCACTAGTCTGATGTTTACTTCACTAGTCTGATGTTTACTTCACTAGTCTGATGTTTACTCCACTAGTCTGATGTTTACTTCACTCACTAGTCTGATGTTTACTTCACTAGTCTGATGTTTACTTCACTAGTCTGATGTTTACTTCACTAGTCTGATGTTTACTTCACTAGTCTGATGTTTTACTTCACTCACTAGTCTGATGTTTACTCCACTAGTCTGATGTTTTACTTCACTAGTCTGATGTTTACTTCACTAGTCTGATGTTTATTTTCACTAGTCTGATGTTTACTTCACTAGTCTGATGTTTATGTCACTAGTCTGATGTTTACTTCACTAGTCTGATGTTTACTTCACTAGTCTGATGTTTACTTCACTAGTCTGATGTTTACTTCACTAGTCTGATGTTTACTCCACTAGTCTGATGTTTACTTCACTCACTAGTCTGATGTTTACTTCACTAGTCTGATGTTTACTTCACTCACTAGTCTGATGTTTACTTCACTAGTCTGATGTTTACTTCACTAGTCTGATGTTTACTTCACTCACTAGTCTGATGTTTACTTCACTAGTCTGATGTTTACTCCACTAGTCTGATGTTTACTTCACTAGTCTGATGTTTACTTCACTCACTAGTCTGATGTTTACTTCACTAGTCTGATGTTTACTTCACTAGTCTGATGTTTACTTCACTAGTCTGATTTTTTACTCCACTAGTCTGATGTTTACTTCACTCACTAGTCTGATGTTTACTTCACTAGTCTGATGTTTACTTCACTAGTCTGATGTTTACTTCACTAGTCTGATGTTTACTTCACTAGTCTGATGTTTACTTCACTCACTAGTCTGATGTTTACTCCACTAGTCTGATGTTTACTTCACTAGTCTGATGTTTACTTCACTAGTCTGATGTTTACTTCACTAGTCTGATGTTTACTTCACTAGTCTGATGTTTATGTCACTAGTCTGATGTTTACTTCACTAGTCTGATGTTTACTTCACTAGTCTGATGTTTACTTCACTAGTCTGATGTTTACTTCACTAGTCTGATGTTTACTCCACTAGTCTGATGTTTACTTCACTCACTAGTCTGATGTTTACTTCACTAGTCTGATGTTTACTTCACTCACTAGTCTGATGTTTACTTCACTAGTCTGATGTTTACTCCACTAGTCTGATGTTTACTTCACTAGTCTGATGTTTACTTCACTCACTAGTCTGATGTTTACTTCACTAGTCTGATGTTTACTTCACTAGTCTGATGTTTACTTCACTAGTCTGATGTTTACCTCCACTAGTCGGATGTTTACTTCACTCACTAGTCTGATGTTTACTTCACTAGTCTGATGTTTACTTCACTAGTCTGATGTTTACTTCACTAGTCTGATGTTTACTTCACTAGTCTGATGTTTACGTCACTAGTCTGATGTTTACTTCACTCACTAGTCTGATGTTTACGTCACTAGTCTGATGTTTACGTCACTAGTCTGATGTTTACTTCACTCACTAGTCTGATGTTTACTCCACTAGTCTGATGTTTACGTCACTAGTCTGATGTTTACTTCACTAGTCTGATGTTTACTTCACTAGTCTGATGTTTACTTCACTCACTAGTCTGATGTTTACTTCACTAGTCTGATGTTTACGTCACTAGTCTGATGTTTACTCCACTAGTCTGATGTTTACTCCACTAGTCTGATGTTTACGTCACTAGTCTGATGTTTACTCCACTAGTCTGATGTTTACGTCACTAGTCTGATGTTTACTTCACTAGTCTGATGTTTACTTCACTAGTCTGATGTTTACGTCACTAGTCTGATGTTTACGTCACTAGTCTGATGTTTACTTCACTCACTAGTCTGATGTTTACTCCACTAGTCTGATGTTTACTTCACTAGTCTGATGTTTACTTCACTAGTCTGATGTTTACGTCACTAGTCTGATGTTTACTTCACTAGTCTGATGTTTACTTCACTAGTCTGATTTTTAAACTTCCATAGTCTGATGTTTACTTCACTAGTCTGATGTTTACTTCACTAGTCTGATGTTTACGTCACTAGTCTGATGTTTACTTCACTCACTAGTCTGATGTTTACTTCACTAGTCTGATGTTTACTTCACTCACTAGTCTGATGTTTACTTCACTAGTCTGATGTTTACTTCACTAGTCTGATGTTTACTTCACTAGTCTGATGTTTACTTCACTCACTAGTCTGATGTTTACATCACTAGTCTGATGTTTACTTCACTCACTTGTCTGATGTTTACGTCACTAGTCTGATGTTTACTTCACTCACTAGTCTGATGTTTACTTCACTCACTAGTCTGATGTTTACTTCACTAGTCTGATGTTTACTTCACTCACTAGTCTGATGTTTACTTCACTCACTAGTCTGATGTTTACGTCACTAGTCTGATGTTTACTTCACTCACTAGTCTGATGTTTACTCCACTAGTCTGATGTTTACTTCACTAGTCTGATGTTTACTCCACTAGTCTGATGTTTACTCCACTAGTCTGATGTTTACTTCACTAGTCTGATGTTTATTTCACTAGTCTGATGTTTACGTCACTAGTCTGATGTTTACGTCACTAGTCTGATGTTTACTTCACTCACTAGTCTGATGTTTACTCCACTAGTCTGATGTTTACTTCACTAGTCTGATGTTTACTCCACTAGTCTGATGTTTACTTCACTAGTCTGATGTTTACTTCACTAGTCTGATGTTTACTCCACTAGTCTGATGTTTACTTCACTAGTCTGATGTTTACTCCACTAGTCTGATGTTTACTTCACTAGTCTGATGTTTACTCCACTAGTCTGATGTTTACTTCACTAGTCTGATGTTTACTTCACTAGCCTGATGTTTACTTCACTAGTCTGATGTTTACTTCACTAGTCTGATGTTTACTTCACTAGTCTGATGTTTATTTCACTTATCTGATGTTTGTTTCACTAGTCTGATGTTTACTTCACTAGTCTGATGTTTATTTCACTTATCTGATGTTTATTTCACTAGTCTGATGTTTACTTCACTAGTCTGATGTTTACTTCACTAGTCTGATGTTTACTTCACTAGTCTGATGTTTACTTCACTAGTCTGATGTTTACTTCACTAGTCTGATGTTTACTTCACTAGTCTGATGTTTACTTCACTAGTCTGATGTTTATTTCACTTATCTGATGTTTACTCCACTAGCGTGTTTACTTAACTCATGTGTAGATTACTTCACTCATGTGATGTTTACGAAATCGTGTGATTTTGACTTCCGTCTTATGATGTAACTGAGCTCTCCCGGCCAAGGATTCCAGTGAGATTTAGATTTAGAACGGGATCTAAGAAAATGTTGTTTTTGCCAAGAGTTTTGAACGAGTGGGATAATTCTCCTTGCAGTGTCATTGAAACTAACACTGAGAAGCCTAATACACAAAAAGATGTGTAGACGTGTCTAGCACAGGCCGGTAGACCTACTGCAACTGCTCGTCTAATGTTTTGTTTACTAAAAATACACGTGAGCTTTGTCTTGGTCTCCAGATAGCGGTAACTGTTAACTTTAAATGGCCACCAAAGTGCATTTAACTCCAATAATTGTGTTTATTTTTTTTCCAGGAAATTGTCTTTATAAGGACAAAGTGAGAGGTTTTTGTGGATATAATTTTTGAGTGGATACAAGTGTTTAAGGCGGCAGAATAAGTGCAAGTGCAACCAAGAAGTGGGAGTGCAGCAAGCGGTCCCGTTGGAGACTTGAATAAGAGTAGAAAGTGAGAGTAGTGTTTTGTGTGTGAGGTGGGTGACACCTGGCTGTTGTTGCCCAGGGTTATGATTGACAGCTGTCAGGGTAGTGAGTGACAGCTGCCAGAGTCATGAACGACAGCTGCCAGGGTCATGAACGACAGCTGCAAGGTCATGAGTGACGCGTTGCAGTAATTCCCTACGCTGCACTCTACCTGTCTCTGTGATAGGCCTGGTGGTGTGTGAAGCACTGTGTGTGACGAGTGTTGGAGGTAGGAATCAGGTGTGTAACGGGTGTTGGAGGTGGGAATCAGGTGTGTGACGGGTGTTGGAGGTGGGAATCAGGTGTGTGGAGACGTGTGTCCTTCCAGGTACCTCCTGCAGCCCTATCCCTGTAGGTGACCTGATCTCTCAGACGAACCAGGTGATCCAGCAGCGTCTGGGGGGTCACGGGGAGAGGACCCCCGCCTAGCAACTAGTAAGTTGCCTCTGCCGGAGCTGGTACTGTTGTGCTGCTGCTGCTGCTGCTGCTCGTCCTCCTCCTCCTCCTCCTCCTCCCAGGGACACTAGTAGTAGGCAACCTCGACCACTCTGCCCACTACCTGCCTGCCTGCCTGCCTGCCCGCCCGCCCGTCCACCCACCCACACTATCTGCCCGCCTGCCCATCCACCCACACTACTTATCTGCCCGCCTGTCTGCCACCTAGGTAAAGAGGCAGAAGCCAACCAGGCGGGGAGGCAGATGCAACACGTGGTTAATAGGGGCAAGGAGGCACGTGTTTAGTACGCTGAGAGACAGCCGCACAAACAGCACAGGGCGGTAGGCTGGGTGTATATCAGGTGGCAGGCTCCACCACCACCACCAGTCTCTACCACCGCCAGCCTCCACCACCGCCAGCCTCCACCACCGCCAGCCTCCACCACCACCAGCCTCCACCACCGCCAGCCTCCACCACCACCATCAGCAGCGGTCTCCACTACCACTACTGCCACCACAACCACCAGTCTCCACTGCCACTAAAACCAGCCTGCACTATCACTAGAGCCAGTCTTCTTCACCACCACCAGCCTCCATCACCACCTCCACCAGCCTCCATCACCACCTCCACCAGCCTCCATCACCACCTCCACCAGCCTCCATCACCACCTCCACCACCACACCACTAGCCTCCATCACCACCACCACCACCACCATCACCGCCACACAATATGGACACCGCCTCCTCGCCTCCACCCAATTATTCAGGTAAACGCGCGCTCTCCACATTTTGTACACTTGTTTCATTTAACAATGTCGTTACTGTTATCTTGCTTATTGTTATTATTGCTCATTCCAATTATAAATGATTTGTATGAGATTACTTGTGTGTATGTGACGTAATGTATGCTAACTTAGATACACTCATCATTAATGAGTTTGTTGAGTGTTATTGGACGTCTTAGATTGTGGAGTAGATGTGTCGTACTGTCAGGGAAGTGGAGGCTTTCTCCCGAGCCTCTTTGGGCATTACGTAACTTCAGTCTTTGTAAGCAGTGGATGGGTACCCTTTAGTGCCCAGTTCCAGTAATGACCTTGGCGAGCGTCCTCGAGCATTGATCTACTTATGTTACCAGTATCGAAGTGTTACACGTGCGATGGAGTGGTGGGGTTGGCAGTGATTGTGCTCTCAGTTAACCAAATTTAAGTATAATATACCAATACAGTAATGTGTAAAGGTTAGACTGTGGTTCAGCGCAGGAAGCAGCGAGAAGACTGAGGAAGCATGTATAACACAAATCCACCACACCTGTAGTGTTGCTTCTCCCACAGTGTTGACTCATGGTCATAAGCTAATGCTTGATCTTCAGGAAGTTTTGACAGTCTTCTTCCCCTCACAGTAGTAGTGTGTTGAACTTATTATATATAAATGATTTAATTAAAAGCCTTAATTGAATGATGAACTGGAACATATTTTTTTCAATGTTGGTGAGTGCAGTAGTTTAAAAATATACATGCATGCAGAATTTCACACTGAAAACACGTAATTCCAGTTATGGAGCTTTTGATCTCCTCAGATACTGGGCTGGAACCCAAGGTACAATGGGCATTCCCTCTCTGGATCGGCACACTGAGATGCTGGAAGAGAAAGGTGGCAGCCCTCGGGTCTCTGGTGGTTTCTCTGAGCCTGGAACCCAGATCTTTGAGAAAAGCATGGCATGCTTTCCCCGTGATCCAAGGGTCTCTTGAACCTGTAGGGACGAAGCAGAACTAGTGGGCCAAGTCCCTATACCTATTAAGCTTGTGATCTTCCCTGTGATCAGCAGCACCTCTGACCAGCACTAAACGGGATGTAGGTGTTGTCCAGGGTAGATGCATAAATGTAGTCCCACACCAGCAGTGTACTGTTCTTCCAGGGATATAAAGTAATCCCCTCACTGAGGCTGGTGGTTGTATCCAGGCAGCAAAGATCCAGATTCTCTCTGGTCTTGGCACTGGACTGTAGCAAGGCTTCTGTTGGTCGTCTCGTAAATTTCATTGTGTTTAACATGTCAGCCTTTGAAACTTAACAAGTTTAGACCATGTAGATGAATGGTTCAGAGAACCGAGAAGTTGATAAATTAGACCAGCGCAATCACAAAGTTTTATTCCAAAGAAACAGACTGAAAATTGCTTAACTCGGGGATCCAAGACTTCTTAGTGCCTTCAAGACTGATGTTGAGAAACTCATGTTCCTACACCAAGCACATCCATCTTATTAAAATTGTGAAGACAATGTAGTTATAGATGAGATGTAAATTTACCCTTTCATGTTGTTAAATTGGTTTAGTATGTTGATTTTTATTAGTGAAATAAATACGCTTGTTTATAATGTTAGATTAGTTGTTTTAAATTTGCAGTAAACCTAATACCAAGAAAGATGTGTTCGTATGTGTGTGTGGTTGACGCTAGGCGCATGACCTGGGAACCAAGGTGGCGACAGCCCCCGTCGTTAACGCCGACCACCAATCAGAGAAGCGCCTTTTTGCTGGTAGATCCAGCTCATCGAACTGGAGACATGGTCTGGGATCGGGCCAAGGGGGCGCTGACCCCCGGAATCGTCTTCCGGTAACCATCAGGTAACCGCAGCGGATTATTATGTTTCAGAGAGAGCACAAAATTCGTAAGAACAACACAGCTTCCGGGGGATGGTAGGACAGTGGGAGTAAAGAGTTTTAATCTGAAGATGATGAGGGTAGTTTCGGTACCCTGGATTAAGAGCTCTTTGCTACCTTCAAGTTACTGTTGTAAAAGGCACGGTAGATGGTGCAGGTAATAGCCTGGAAAGGCTATTAACCAGTAGGCCTGGCCTGAGACCGGGCTATGGGGGCAATAGCCCCGTACCACATAGTCACCTGAATCTAGGTGGTCCCACTGCCGAATTATGTTAGTTTTTGTTCTTGTCATCATTACACATGTTTATCCTAGTTTTTGTCTTTGTATTTGTTGTATTTAGGAAGGTAGGTGGAGGACCGGAAGAGAAAGAGGATTGGTATAAGCTGGATTTGTAGAGACCAACCGACCGACTTATCAATCTGTTTATCTACCTTCCTAATAAAGTATAGTCCATATGGAAGATACGTGTACTTGAGGATCAGATCCCGAGGATACACTCTCCCGTATGTTATGACGCCTTAAGCACAAAGAACACTGTCACCATCAGTCACCCACATCATCTTACCAGCGCATGTAATACTGCCGGAAACAGGTAGAAGTTTTCAAGAAAGAAAACTGGACTGTTACCTGTTTGGAGTGCCAGATCAGTCAGGCTGTGATGGCTGTGTAGGCCTGTTGGCCGCTAACAGCAATAGCCGGGCCCTCCAAGAAAGAAGTTTAGCCTTAGGATGAGCTGTGAGATTGGAAGAACCGTCGACACCAGTCACGTGTATGTTAAGAATGACATAGCCAGGTGTCTGGAGGTAGATAAAACCAGATGGTGGTATAGCCGGCTGCCTGGAGGTAGATATAACCAGCTGGTGGTGTAGCCAACTGCCTGAAGGTGTTTTAATGTCTTATTTAAGTAAGAGTTTTCCTGGTGCAGTAAACTTGTTTTGCTTTCCTTCCATGTGCTCTTATTGTCCTGTCTTCCCTTCCTGTGTTCTTATTGTCCTATCTCCCTTCCTTCCCTGTGTTCTTATGTCCTGTCTCCCTTCCCTGTGTTCTTATTGTCCTGTCTCCCTTCCTTCCCTGTGTTCTTATTGTCCTGTCTCCCTTCCCTGTGTTCTTATTGTCCTGTCTCCCTTCCTTCCCTGGTTCTTATAGTCTGTCTCCTTCCGTGTCTTATAGTCTGTCTCCTTCCTTCCCTGTGTTCTTATTGTCCTGTCTCCCTTCCCTGTGTTCTTATTGTCCTGTCTCCCTTCTTCCCTGTGTTCTTATGTCCTGTCTCCTTCCCTGTGTTCTTATTGTCCTATCTCCCTTCCTTCCCTGTGTTCTTATGTCCTGTCTCCCTTCCCTGTGTTCTTATTGTCCTGTCTCCCTTCCTTCCCGTGTGTTATTGTCCTGCCCTTCCTTCCCTGTTCTTATTGTCCTGCCTTCCCCTTCCCTAGTGTTCTTATTTCCTGCTTCCTTCCTTCCTGCTTTATTGTCCTGCTCCTTCCTTCCCTCGTTTATTGTCCTGCCTTCCTTCCCTTTTCTTCCTGTTTTGTTCTTATTGTCCTGCCTTCCTTCCTTCCCCGTGTTATTATCCTGCCTTCCTCCCTTCCCTGTGTTCTTATTGTCCTGCCTGCCTTCCCTGTATTCTTATTGTCCTTTCTCCTCTCCCCTCTCCTTCCTCCGCTCCCCTATATCCTTCCAATCCTTTCTCTCCTCCCATTTTTCCTTATCCACTCCCGTCTACCTCCCTTTATTATTTTCTTTACTTACACTCTTTATACCTCTCCTTTCATTCCTCCCCCTTTCCCTCCCTCCTTTAACTCTACTTTCCCTCCCTCTTCCCTCTAATTTTACTTTCCCTCCCTGCTCCTCCCTCCTTTCACTCTACTTTCTTACAGTTTTAAAACAAATCTGATTTTTGCTCATGTTTTGTGGGATTCTTTTTCAGCTTCTAAAAAATTATTTCTAAATTTTTTTAGATTTGTTTTGATGAGTTTGTTCATACCTCTTTATCTGTTGTGTATGTTTTGGTCATGACCCCTCTGAGCCTTTGTTTCTCTAGTGCTGTGAGATCTGATTCTTTAAATGTGTCCTCGTACACACTTGTGGCATACCTACAGCTGATTTTGAGTGGCACTCTACACCTAGTCCTGTCTGAGGGCAGGCTGTTGCTGCCAGCGGCCCAAACACCTTACCAGTGGTAAATATCTGAACCTTAGTTAGGCTCTCAGGTGTCTGCTTAACACAAATTCTACAGAATTCGAAAGGTAACAGACAGCACACGCAGCACCAAGCCTTAAGTCGTGGAAAGAATGATTTCATTACAACATAGAGTAAACAGGCACACCACATCATAGTGTAACGAACAAGTAAAATATTGAGGAATAATTATGTCGAACGAATTGTCATTTAAAAAAGAGAGTAAATCATATGCAGCAGAAATGACATGGTGGATTATGAGAACTTTCGAAATAAGAGAAGCAACATTAATGATGGTACTTTCATATTTATGTACAACAGCTCTAGAAACTGGTCACAGGTAAAGCACAGTTTCAGGACTAGGGCTATGCTTCTGCTTTTCTCTCTTCGATAGTAACAATACTGATCCTCGTGTCACCCTTATTCATGTTCTTCAATATCGTATTGAGGTATGTTAGTCCTGCATATGTTACTAAATTTATGAGGTTTGTTTGTTCCTCTGGTGATATGCATCGTGTATTATTTACCCCTACATCCGTGTGACCTTATATTTGTTTAAATTGAACTCCAACAGCCACTTGTAAGGCCACATTTACAGCTTGTCTAGGATTTCCTGGCACTCATGTCTTTCATCTCTTGCTTTATCCTTCTCATTTGTTTTATATCATCAGCAAAGATATAACATAAAAATCTTAAGTTCTCTTTCAGTGGTACTGTACTCACCTAGTTGTGGTTGCCTCTTCGCAAGTCGCTACTAGGTCCACTCTCTCCCTTCTCTATGAGCCTTATCGAACCTCTTCTTAAAACTATGTATGGATCCTGCCTCCACTACATCACTTTCTAAATTGTTCCACTACCTGACAACTCAGCTCACACACTGAGGCCCAGGGTTCGTATCTCTGGTACGGCTGGATAACATTAGGACGTGTTTCCATAAG